ACTTTCTTTTTTTAGTTCTTGCTCTTTAATGACGATGTTACCAGTATTTAGCGTTTCTGTCTTTTATCTTGAACACTATTATGAATATATATATATATACTTTAGACAGCAAAAATAACTCAAAAAAAAAACTAGTCATATATCGACCAATTTAGGGGGCAAAGAATTTAAGAAGGTAGAGATAATCTGCAACCAGATAACAGATGATCAGCAATACAAGATCAACAAGAAAGGATTTTTGTTTTGCATCCTATTATAATCTGCAATATCGGTGTGTGTCCATTGTTAAAAATGAACATGATCCTAGATGAGCGATAAATGCTCATTAAAACCTTTAGAGTTTTGTACCATGTCTCCTTAATTTTGTATCAGACATGGTATGCGGATAACATTTTTTCACTTGCGTGCAGTCATCTTTGTCAATTTCAAGGTTTTCAAACTGTTAAAGATCATACAAAAAGTCGTGGTATTAGCGGACTTCACGGTTTAACTGCAAGAAAAAAAAAACCTTAACTTTCGTACCTTTATGGTAAACACATTAAATAACAATTAATGGATTCCTAAAGTTTGAATATATAATATATAATGATGTTAATGACTAAAAATTGCAATTTCATCGGGAAGAAAACATATGATGTCGGTTCTGAGTCCCTGACTAAAACGGGCAGTTTACACTAAAATGTTTTTTACAAATGATACTAGATTTACGATATAGGATTTGACTATCAAATGCCGGTAATACGTCCTACTTTTAATTCCACAGTTGTTACCACGTGTTTTGTTTCTTTACCATGATATCTAAAAATATTTTAAAATTGGGATTGTTATAAATGAGGTGTCGTTATTTTGGGAAAACAGTGCTATATCAAACCCTTCTTTGTGAAATATGAAATAAAGGGAGGGAACACTGCCTCTTGTCTTTAACTTGATTCATAAAAAAAAATCCAAAAGACACCAAGAGGACAACTAAAAAAGAAAAATAGACGAAACCTTGGCTTAAACAGAATAACGTTATACGGCCAAAAATAAAAAAAAAATAATACAGAAATCAACACAAACCCAATCTGAAATTTGGGGTGATCACAGGTGCTGCATAAGTGTGTCAGATCCACTTTCTCTATTGACACGTTTCTCAAGTCGCGTCAAATTTAGTGATGTCAAAATTGAGAAAATGCAATGGATTGAGGCTACAACAATTAGCACATACATGTGGTTCATACAACATAATATGTTTGTCATTTGTATATAATCAATAGCTTCAATTCTAAAATAAACTAGTCTATCATGTCTATCATGTCGAAAGATCTTGGTTATATTTTTTATCAAAGATATACTTCATTCATGTTTCAGGAATACCAAAGCTTTAGTCCAGAGTAACAGCTTAATTATCTTAGTACCAGATAGCTTTTGAAAGTAAATATTTTTGTTCATGCTTTTATTACCTGTATTGAATTACTCATGTTACTTGACATTTTCAAACGAGTTTGACAAGGGAAAATTCGGTTATTAAATTGGTGAAGTACAACGAAGTAAGTTGGTACAGTACTAATAACCAAATTGAGGTCATGTTGGATATTGACGTTTTACACTTTTCTCGTTCATAAGTAATTGTCGTTGATGGAATAACAAATGATATTATGCATGTCGTTTCCATGCAATAATCTGTGTACCGTTCAACGCATGCTTTTTAAATGTTGATGTGATGTTACTGATGACCAATTGTAGGTCTAGTTTAATTTTAATGATTTTCACTTTTACCATTCAGGAGTTGTGGTCCTTGATAAAACAGAAAATGGCAGTTTATGTCGTTTCAATAAAATAACTTTTGAAATGTTCAACAAATGCTTTTTAAATTATCTATTTTGTTATTAAACAAAATATAGGTCAAGTGGGATATTGACAATTCTCAGTTTAACCGTTATCGATATATGATCCTTGATTTATTGGAAAAATGGAAATAACATGGCATGTTAAACACACCTGAAAGAGCCATACCTTAGAATACTTACAGCATGGACACAACCGAAGAATACTTACAGCATGGACACAACCTTAGAATACTTACAGCATGGACACATCCTTAGAATACTTACAGCATGGACACAACCTTAGAATACTTACAGCATGGACACAACCTTAGAATACTTACAGCATGGATACAACCTTAGAATACTTACAGCATGGACACAACCTTAGAATACTTACAGCATGGACACAACCTTAGAATACTTACAGCATGGACACAACCTTAGAATACTTACAGCATGGACACAACCTTAGAATACTTACAGCATGGACACAACCTTAGAATACTTACAGCATGGACACAACCTTAGAATACTTACAGCATGGACACAACTTTAGAATACTTTAGCATGGACACAACCTTAGAATACTTACATCATGGACACAACCTTAGTATACTTACAGCATGGACACAACCTTAGAATACTTACAGCATGGACACAACCTTAGAATACTTTATCATGGACACATCATTAGAATACGTACAGCATGGAACAACCTTAGAATACTCACAGCATGGACAGAACCTTAGAATACTTACAGTATGGACACAACTTTAGAATACTTACAACATGGACACAACCTTAGAATACTTACAGCATGGACACAACCTTAGAATACTTACAGCATGGACACAACTTTAGAATACTTACAACATGGACTCAACTTTGGAATACTTACAGCATAAACACAACCTTGGAATACTTACAGCATGGACACAACCTTAGAATACTTACAGCATGGACACACACTTAGAATACTTACAGCATGGACACAACCTTAGAGTACTTACTGTTTGGACACAACCTTAGAATATTTACAGCATGGACACAACCTTATAATACTTTTAGCATGGACACAACCTTAGAATACTAACAGCCTGGACACAACCTTAGAATACTTACAGCATGGACACAACCTTAGAATACTTACAGCATGGACAGAACCTTAGAATACTTACAGCATGGACACAACATTAGAATACTAACAGCATGGACACAACCTTAGAATACTTACAGCATGGACACAACCTTAGAGTATTTACAGCACGGTCACAACCTTATATACTTACAACATGGACACAACCTTAGAATACTTACAGCATGGACACATCATTAGAATACTTACAGCATGGACACATCATTAGAATACTTACAGCATGGACACAACCTTAGAATACTTACAGCATGGACACATCATTAGAATACTTACAGCATGGACACAACCTTAGAATATTTACAGCATGGACACAACCTTAGAATACTTAAAGCATTGACACAACCTTATAATACTAACAACATGGACACAACCTTAGAACACTTACAGCATGGACACAACCTTAGAATACTTACAGCATGGATACAACCTTAGAATACTTACAGCATGGACACATCATTAGAATACTTACAGCATGGACACAACCTTAGAATACTCACAGCATGGACACAACCTTAGAATACTTACAGCATGGACACAACCTTAGTATACTTACAGCATGGACACAACCTTAGAATACTTACAGCATGGACACAACCTTAGAATACTTACAACATGGACTCAACCTTAGAATACTTACAGCATGGACACAACCTTGGAATACTTACAGCATGGACACAACCTTAGAATACTTACAACATGGACTCAACCTTGGAATACTTACAGCATGGACACAACCTTAGAATACTTACAGCATGGACACAACCTTAGATTACTTACAGCATGGACACAACCTTAGAATACTTACAGCATGGACACAACCTTAGAATACTTTAGCATGGACACATCATTAGAATACTTACAGCATGGACACAACCTTAGAATACTCACAGCATGGACACAACCTTAGAATACTTACAGCATGGACACAACATTAGAATACTTACAACATGGACACAACCTTAGAATACTTACAGCATGGACACAACCTTATAATACTTACAGCATGGACACAACCTTAGAATACTTACAACATGGACTCAACCTTGTAATACTTACAGCATGGACACAACCGTGGAATACTTACAGCATGGACACAACCTTAGAATACTTACAGCATGGACCCAACCTTAGAATACTTACAGCTTGGACACAACCTTAGAATATTTACAGCATGGACACAACCTTAGAATACTTACAGCATGGACACAACCTTAGAATACTTACAGCCTGGACACAACCTTAGAATACTTACAGCATGGACACAAACTTAGAATACTTACAGCATGGACACAACCTTAGAATACTTATAGCATGGACACAACCTTAGAATACTTACAGCATGGACACAACCTTAGAATACTTACAGCATGGACACAATCTTAGAATACTTACAGCATGGACACAACCTTAGAATACTTACAGCATGGACACAACCTTAGAATACTTACAGCATGGACACAATTTAGCCGAGTCATTATTAGTATGCATTCTATTTCTAATAATACAGCAAAACAATATTGGTGTCATGTGACTTAGTCATTGTTGGAATATAACAAATACTTGACTCATTTAATCTGGTTTTAAATTATCAAATAAATTGAACCTATAATATTGAATCGTTTTTAGCCTAGTTCTAATAGATATTTTTTTGTTAAGAAATAGTAGATACTCGTCTTCTTTACTTTAAATTAAACTTATACATACAGTCTCCATTCAAGCATGTTTGATTTGCTATAAAATGAATAGTAATATTAAGAACTATATAAACTTTCTGCTATTACTTTAAATAGAGTTTACACATAATCCGACCTATTATGAAAAGTAGGTACTGCTAAAGATAAAAGTACTAGTCTTCATCTAGCCTAGATGGCGTTGCCATAAACATAACGTAAATATTATTGGCCTACTATAATGATTATTGCTAGTAAATTTCTTAGTTACAACAATTACTTGCATTAAATCAGGTAAAAAATGTTCATACTTGTAATTGTTTTGACCTTGACTTCATAAACCGAGGTATTTTTTTTTTATTTGCAGAACATGATGGCAAGTTTGAACGAGGTAAAGAGTTTCTCATATTATGTCCATATGTCATATCAGTATTGCTGTTTGTTACCACGCAGAACATACATGTACGAATTACTTCAGATGGAGACTAGACTATGTATAAATGAAGTACTCTCTGATGGAGACTAAAATATTGATGAAATACTTTCAGATAGTGACTTAAAGAACAACAGTAATATAACTACAACGAGTATAACTCTAATGTTCATGGAACCTTCAAAGCTGTTATATAATACTTGTTTCACTTTTTGGTTTATCTCCAGAAAAAAATGCTTTATTACTGAAAGCAATCCCGTTCTGTCATTGTATTCACTATATTTGGTAGAAGTCCTTGAATAGCAAACTGTCATGACTTGAAATGTTAACGTCATAAGAATTCATGAATATATAAGTTCACTAAAGAGTTGAGTGCTTTTTTAAAATTCTTTCTAAAATTATGACTTATCACTTGCTTTCATTTCCAATACATGATGGAAACAGAAAAAACTTCAATTCTGTTATTTGATAACATGCAAGTTAACTATTATTACAATTTTTGATCCTGAAAGTACAGTTTAAGTAATACAACTTGTCATTCGTTTTTTCTAATGTGCTTAGTCTATATGCCTTTTTGTTTTCTTTGTTTATATATATTTGTTTGTTTTCATAGTCATTAAAATTATAACACAATGTTGACTGCTGTACCCCTATTTTTGACATTTTTACCTATTATGTCTTTGTTTTGTGCACACATCGTTGTCAATATAATGGAATTTTATGCGACTTTCATACAAGTGAGAGGTTTAGCTCGCTATAAAACCAGGTTTAATCAACCATTTTCTACACAATAAAATGCCTGTACTAAGTCAGGAATATGACAGTTGCTATCTATTCGTTTGATGTGTTTGAGCTGTTGATTTTGCCATTTGATTAGGGACTTTCCGTTTTGAATTTACCTCGGAGTTCGGTATTTTTGTTTTTTTTTTTACTTTTTTCAGAAGTGTTTTGATATTATGAAAGCTTTATTATCCGAATGCAATCAATATCACAAAAAGAAACATGCATATTATCGATGTCCTTTTTTTTTCAAAACTAAGACGTATGATTCCAACAGTAAATAACAATGGTGATGTTTTGCGTTTGCCGGAAATACCTTAAACGTTTTGGTAGCATTGTTTCGTCTTGGTATACATAGTTTAGAAACATATAGCAGAATAACATTTTGCTGTACTTACAGAAAATAATTGAAGCTGCTCGTGAAGGAAGTTTAAGGGATTTGAAACTATGCATTGAAAAGGGAGCGGATTTGGAATGTACATCTACAGTAAGTTCAGTAACAGAACTAATATATTTACAGATTGTATCATACTTATGAGACGGGAACTCTCTAATTAATCAAAATGATTCCATCACAAATTCGTATACAATTATTATCTTTTTTTATATAAATAGATACAAGAAATGAACTATCTTGTTAATAAGTAATTTATCTCTGGTAGGTGGATACTTTGAAATCTTAAAAAAACGTCAGAAGATAGAAATCACAAGTCGATAGAAACTGATAACGTCATGGAAAATAAAGAAAGACAACGAAACGACAATAGAAAACTGATCGTGTTTTCTGACAAAAAAACAAAAAAAAACACAATAAAAAACACCTTCTAAAATGACAATGTCACAAATATACATGTTATAGATACAGTGTTAGTGTGTCGTAGGAAATTATAATATTGAAATCTTAATTCAGATTTCACAACATTGAGTTATTAATTTGTATTCAACTTATGTTGAAGCCCACACCCCACTAATGAATTCACTTACAACTAAGAATGAAGGCTTATAAATGCATACACCAATGACATTCATCACTTCACTTATGACAAAACCTCATTATTTTACCCTCCACGTTATCATGTATATTAAATTACATTTCTATAATGATGAATCCTAATTATTTCACTTTTCAATCTTCACCAGTTCATTTACTCATCAATTCCCGTTAGAAAAAAAATCTAAAAACTTCTGAATAATTTTAAATCTCGATCTTTCTCTTAAATTCATTCTATCAAAACTTTTGATTTTTCAACCAGGTATACAACCATTTCGCATGTTAAAATAAAAAATCGTCTAAACGAAATAATCCACAATGCTTTTCAATATACAAATGGTAGTATACGCTATACATTTATTACTTTGGGATAACATACGGCATATTTTACAGTTATCTCAGTACAAGAATCTATGACAAACGAGACGATTTTAACTTTGAATTTACCAATTTCCCCCAACTTAGCAGCAATATATAAACTTCATCTGTATATGGCATATACGTTTCCCAACCCATTTGGCTTTCAACAGCTAGCAGCTTATACTAAAACTACTCATACTTCAGTAGTGTTTGAGAAGAAAATTTATAAACCTGGGTAATGTCAAATAACTTATTGTTCTTTTTCTAAAAACGTTCATCTGAAGATACCAAATATTAAGTATTAACTTCACATATATTACATGATGGTCTTAAAATATAGATTATAGGTCCTGACGTTGTTTATCATCTTAATTACGTGTTGTAGTGTTCTTTTATTTGTCTTTTATTATTATTATTCTTTACTGTTTATGCCATTGTTGGTAATATCCTTTTGACGTGGGTCGGTACGTATACATCCCGCTATTGTGTAATTGTGCTATGGTCATTTTTTTGTATTCTTGTCTGTCATTTTGGCTTGTGTGCGTTGTCTTTATGCCATATTGTTTTTCTTTGTCGAAATATTGACACATTTGTTTGTTTATAGTGGTTAAGATTATAAGACAATGTTGACTGCTGTATCCCTATTTTTGAAAATTTTACCTATCATGTCTGTTTGTTTGGGTTACGCATTGTTGTCAATATAAAGGAAGTTTTGTCATACAGGTGAGCGGTTTAGCTAGCTATAAAACAAGGTTTAATCCACAATTTTCTACATATGGACACTCCTGTACCAAGTGCAGAATATGACAGTTGTTTGCCATTCGTTTGATGTGTTTTAGTTTTTGAGTTTACCATTTAATAAGGGATTTTCATTGGGGTTAGGTATTTTAGTTATTTTACGTTTTAATTGATAAATTCTGATAAATCTAAACAACACTAATGATGTATCAACATAATCTCACGCACCACTGATGATGTCTCCCGATGGATTACAATATCACTGAAGATGAACCCTAAAAATTCACACAACATTGAAGATGACCTCTGAAAATGCACACAACAGTGAAGATTAACTCTAAAAATTCACACATCATTGATTATTGATCCTAATAATTTTTCGCTTGACCGCTGATCAATCCTCAATATATTCATGTGATACTACAGGATGAAGATGCTCAAATTCAGACAGATTTAACGAACAACAAATGCTCTTAAAATTATATAAATTGAGATTTTTATATTACTCTTGCCATGGCAAAGAGTCAAATATTACAGGTTGTATTCTGCTTTCCGACAAAATCCTTTTTGTAAACATCTGATGTTACTTGCTTATTAGAAGTTGATAACATTTTTATTCAGATCTAATGTAAAACATTTGTTTTATCAAATGATTTAATATTGTATGTGTTTCATCGAAAGGAATCAATATTTATCCAAATATTTGATACATTTTTCTAATACTATTTTTTTTTAAAGATGACAGTTCATATGAAAGTTATGATATCTCACAACAAAACATTTTGTTTATTTCTTGTTTATGTAAAATATAAATAAAATTGTGACTTATCATTTTATTCAGTTTAGACCAAGTATTTATTTAATATACATTTCTTTTACATGTATTACAAACCTTTGTACAGTTGATGACACCAATTTTGAGTTTTATTATGTTTTGTTTTTACAGAATGGATTTACACCATTATTGGTTGCCTCTGAGAAAGGACACCTAGAGACCATCCAATACCTTGTCACAGTCGGCTGTGACAAAGAAGCACGAACACCGAAGGTGATTATATATAATATATATCTGAAATCTTACTCCTCTTTATACTGAATCAACACAAACTTATATTGTTTATCATACAGGTTTAATGGAAAACACATACGTGTAAGAATTGTATAAATTTGGATCTTATTTTTACGTATCCCATCGTACTTAATCCGATATAAAGGACATATTTAGTTTTTTAACAAACATATGATTTTGTAAGCATCTGATTTTTTGTGTTAATACGAATTTGATGAGAACGAAACAGCTCTCTTGGAAACTATATGTTAATTATATCAAAGTCATTTTAGAAGTTGATTAAAATGGATCTAATTATGTCCTGTCATCCTTCTGTGGTGATGATATATAAATATATCTGTTTGATCCGTCTCCTCTTTATATTAATTCAACACAGAATTGTATTGTTTATCAAACAGGTTTAAAGGACAACCGATATGTAGTATGATTATATAAAGTAATCAGGTAAATTCAAGAGTCAATCCCAAATTGAGGTAAAGTATATGGCCTTCCAAACACCGTTTCGATTCCTAACATCACTGAAGAGACATTAATTGTCGAAATCCCGATATGGTGTACACATTTTTGCACCTCATGTTTGCGGTATACCGTCTTTTTCGCAAGTTTATTGTTTTCTGTTTGGTATTAAATTAATATAATTAAGATCCATTGTGTTACATCTGTGATCCGTTTATTTGGCAATCGCCATGGCAGTCAGCAGGGTTTAAGAACATCCGTTGTTCGACCTGCTAGTCAAATGCGTTTTGTTAAAATATACTTTTTTCACTTTTTTGGTCTTTTGGAAAATGTTGTTTGTGCTGTATTTGGACCCCTCTACAAAGACATTTGTTTCGCATGCACACGTATAAAAATTGCGGTTTTTATCCAACGCAATCATAGGTTTGAACGTTGTTTTCAATTAAGACTTGTTTATATTTTTTCGTTTGGGCTTGTATTGTATTTGCCTTCGGGTTTATATGATCCGTTCATCCTATTCCGACTCTTCAAAATCCAAGAGTCAATCCCAAATTGAGGTAAACTATATGGCCTTCCAAACACCGTTTCGTTTCCCAACATCACTGAAGAGACATTAATTGTCGAAATCCGGATATGGTGTACAAATTTTTGCACCTCATTTTTGCGGAATACCATCTTTTTCGCAAGTTTATTGTTTTCTGTTTGGTATTAAATTAATATAATTCAGATCCATTGTGTTACATCTGTGATCCGTTTATTTGACAATCGCCATGGCAGTCAGCAGGGTTTAAGAACATCCGTTGTTTGACCTGCTAGTCAAATGCGTTTTGTTAAAATATACTTTTTCACTTTTTTTGGTCTTTTGGAAAATGTTGTTTGTGCTGTATTTAGACCCCTCTACAAAGAAATTTGTTTTGCATGCACACGTATAAAAAATGCGGTTTTTATCCAACGCAATCATAGGTATGAACGTTGTATTCAATTTAGACTTGTTTATATTTTTTCGTTTGGGCTTGTATTGTATTTGCTTTCGGGTTTATATGATCCGTTCATCCTATTTCGACTCTTCAAAATTCAAGAGTCAATTTCAAATTGAAGTAAACTATATAGCCTTCCAAACACCGTTTCGATTCCTAACATCACTGAAGAGACATTAATTGTCGATATCCGGATATGGTGTACAAATTTTTGCACCTCATTCTTGCGGAATACCATCTTTTTCGCAAGTTTATTGTTTTCTGTTTGGTATTAAATTAATATAATTCAGATCCATTGTGTTACATCTGTGATCCGTTTATTTGACAATCGCCATGGCAGTCAGCAGGGTTTAAGAACATCCGTTGTTTGACCTGCTAGTCAAATGCGTTTTGTTAAAATATACTTTTTCACTTTTTTTTGTCTTTTGGAAAATGTTGTTTGTGCTGTATTTAGACCCCTCTACAAAGAAATTTGTTTTGCATGCACACGTATAAAAATTGCGGTTTTTATCCAACGCAATCATAGGTTTGAACGTTGTTTTCAATTTAGACTTGTTTATATTTTTTCGTTTGGGCTTGTATTGTATTTGCCTTCGGGTTAATATGATCCGTTCATCCTATTTTGACTCTTCAAAATTCAAGAGTCAATCCCAAATTGAGGTAAAGTATATGGTCTTCCAAACACCGTTTCGATTCCTAACATCACTGAAGAGACATTAATTGTCGAAATCCGGATATGGTGTACACATTTTTGCACCTCATGTTTGCGGTATACCATCTTTTTCGCAAGTTTATTGTTTTCTGTTTGGTATTAAATTAATATAATTAAGATCCATTGTGTTACATCTGTGATCCGTTTATGTGGCAATCGCCATGACAGTCAGCAGGGTTTAAGAACATCCGTTGTTCGACCTGCTAGTCAAATGCGTTTTGTTAAAATATACTTTTTCACTTTTTTGGTCTTTTGGAAAATGTTGTTTGTGCTGTATTTAGACCCCTCTACAAAGAAATTTGTTTTGCATGCACACGTATAAAAATTGCGGTTTTTATCAAACGCAATCATAGGTTTGTACGTTGTTTTCAATTTAGACTTGTTTATATTTTTTCGTTTGGGCTTGTATTGTATTTGCCTTCGGGTTTATATGATCCGTTCATCCTATTTCGACTCTTCAAAATTCAAGAGTCAATCCCAAATTGAGGTAAATTATATGGCCTTCCAAACACCGTTTCGATTCCCAACATCACTGAAGAGACATTAATTGTCGAAATCGGGATATGGTGTACAAATTTTTGCACCTCATGTTTGCTGTATACCATCTTTTTCGCAAGTTTATTGTTTTCTGTTTGGTATTAAATTAATATAATTAAGATCCATTGTGTTACATCTGTGATCCGTTTATTTGGCAATCGCCATGGCAGTCAGCAGGGTTTAAGAACATCCGTTGTTCGACCTGCTAGTCAAATGCGTTTTGTTAAAATATATTTTTTTCACTTTTTTGGTCCTTTGGAAAATGTTGTTTGTGCTGTATTTAGACCCCTCTACAAAGAAATTTGTTCTGCATGCACACGTATCAAAATTGCGGTTTTTATCCAACGCAATCATAGGTTTGAACGTTGTTTTCAATTTAGACTTGTTTATATATTTTTTCGTTTGGACTTGTATTGTATTTGCCTTCGGGTTTATATGATCCGTTCATCCTATTTCGACTCTTCAAAATTCAAGAGTCAATCCCAAATTGAGGTAAATTATATGGCCTTCCAAACACCGTTTCGATTCCTAACATCACTGAAGAGACATTAATTGTCGAAATCCGGATATGGTGTACACATTTTTGCACCTCATGTTTGCGGTATACCATTTTTTTCGCAAGTTTATTGTTTTCTGTTTGGTATTAAATTAATATAATTAAGATCCATTGTGTTACATCTGTGATCCGTTTATGTGGCAATCGCCATGGCAGTCAGCAGCGTTTAAGAACATCCGTTGTTCGACCTGCTAGTCAAATGCGTTTTGTTAAAATATACTTTTTCACTTTTTTGGCCTTTTGAAAATGTTGTTTGTGCTGTATTTAGACCCCTCTACAAAGAAATTTATTTTGCATGCACACGTATCAAAATTTCGGTTTTTATCCAACGCAATCATAGGTTTGTACGTTGTTTTCAATTTAGACTTGTTTATATTTTTTCGTTTGGGCTTGTATTGTATTTGCCTTCGGGTTTATATGATCCGTTCATCCTATTTCGACTCTTCAAAATTCAAGAGTCAATCCCAAATTGAGGTAAATTATATGGCCTTCCAAACACCGTTTCGATTCCTAACATCACTGAAGAGACATTAATTGTCGAAATCCGGATATGGTGTACAAATTTTTGCACCTCATGTTTGCGGTATACCATCTTTTTCGCAAGTTTATTGTTTTCTGTCTGGTATTAAATTAATATAATTAAGATCCATTGTGTTACATCTGTGATCCGTTTATTTGGCAATCGCCATGGTAGTCAGCAGGGTTTAATAACATCCGTTGTTCGACCTGCTAGTCAAATGCGTTTTGTTAAAATATACTTTTTCACTTTTTTTGGTCTTTTGGAAAATGTTGTTTGTGCTGTATTTAGACCCCTCTACAAAGACATTTGTTTTGCATGCACACGTATAAAAATTGCGGTTTTTATCCAACGCAATCATAGGTTTGAACGTTGTTTTGAATGTAGACTTGTATATATATATATATATAGAGTTCTATAAAAAGGACCAACCAGCACATTTACTATGTACCGGATCGTCTAGAATAGACGATACTGTGCAGATAAGGGAAATACAACATATAAGTTTAGAGATTTGCACAAAAATACTAATATAAAATGGTATAATACGAAAATGTTGACAAATATTTCGGCTTAACAAATAGCCTTCTTCAGTGTCAATAATTTAAACAATACTAATTATATGTATACAAATAGCTCAGTAATACAGGTAAGTTTTGGTCTATTGATTTAATTCAAAATCCTGAACATCATAATATAAAACAAAACTCAATACTCAAGTATGCGTGACTGTAGATAGATATACGAAGATGTGGTATGAGTGCCAATGAGACAACTCTCCATCCAAGTTACAATTTATAAAAGTAAACCATTATAGGTCAAGGTACGGCCTTCAACACGGAGCATTGGCTCACACCGAACAGCAATCTATAAAGGGCCCCAAAAAAATTACTAGTGTAAAACCATTCAAACGGATAAACCAACGGTCTAATCTATATAAAAACGAAAAACGAGAAACACGTATGAACTACATAAACAGACGACAAATACTGTAATCAGATTCCTGACTTAGGACAGGTGCAAATAAACATCCCAAAATGAATGAAAAATAAAACTTAGTATTTTTTATTGATGCCGTTTGGATGATGTACATTTAGTTCCTTTATCCAAATGCTTTCCCGAACCTGTCGCTGGGCATCACTCCAGTGAATGTTCTGTTCAATCACTAGGATCTTCATGCAGTTAAAGTCATCAAGTTTGTGACCAGACTGTCTGAAATGCTGA